GAAGGGTGGCATAATCATCCGTCATGTCTATATATATATAGAGTGTTGGAGTGTTTGTGGAACCTGCTCATCATGTTTTGCTTCGAAGGCTAATCTGGAACCCCTCAGAAAAGCGCACATCGGTTAGCAACAGGAACAAAATTTATTTACTAACAAAGATCAGAGGGACTAGGATGACTATTTCTTGCTCACTAGCAGTCGTCAGCCAGCCAGGCCCTTTCCAGGTTTTGGCACGCCTGAGGTACTTTAATTTGTCTATGTAACTGGTCGCTGTGTGACTACCTGCGAGACTATAGATCAAACCTCAAAGCACCGCGGACGGGCAGGTCCCATAACCCGATAGAAAGCAGCACGACATAAACATGTTGCTCATGTCCTGGCTGAACCCGTAATATTCTATGCAGCCCAAAGTTTATCAGAAAATCGATATCCAAGGAAGGCAAGGGTATCTGTATTAATTTTCTGCTAATGTGTGAGAACAGGCTGGCACAGTTTGTGATGCTACTGGGCGTTGGAATTCATCTAATAGAGATAAAGGAACATCCATTTCAGTACACAAAGTAACATCTTGTGCCCAAAACTACTGCAGTAAATATAATGCGTATCCGGTAAGTTATTAAATCTATTTTCGCAATACTTGGGTAATAATGTCTATATGATTTCGATGCCATCATCATGTTTAATTAATTCCACCACTAACACCAATCACAGCTGTGATGGGATGGCCAATTCTTGTCTGAGATATCTGTTTTCTCTCTACTGAATTGAGGGAGTGGTTCTGATCGTCACACATAACAACGAGCCCGTCCAAAACTCGCTCACTACTATGATGCAGGCGCACATGAAACCTGAGTTAAGAATATGGTTTGATGTCAGCGCTGATTTAACATCCGAAACAGCAGAGCACCAAGCATTCGGTCGAGCTCACTATTGCAGGACCCCTTTTCGCCTCGTTCCGTGTCTCTCGGATGCGAGATAGATTTTGTTGATTCGACCGACAATAACAGGGTCGGTTAACCAAGCCACTTCCATCTAATCTTACGCACGTTGGTCAAGTTTCGCCGCTCAACCAAGCTCAGGATTCTTACTTTCAACGCCTTAAAGCTCCTACTACCCACCTATGACTGTAAAAAATGAAAGAAAAAATGAGCGCGCGGTGGAAGAGGTGATGATGACAATGATGATGACTGCGCAAACGCATTACGTATGCTCTCTTCAGTACGCACAAAGAGAGAGAAGACAGGTTTCTCCTCCTGCTCACAGAATCCTGCATGCCTGCTAACTCTCAGCGGCATTTTGGCCAACATTGCGTGCTACAGCGCAGCTGTGCGCACGACCACGCCGCATTGCTCCGCTGAGATAAAGTCGCGGCTTTTGCAGGGAGTTTTAAAATACTCAGTCTCCGGTTGGCTAAAGGTGGAGGTTGATTTCTCAGCCATTTTCAGGTCCGATTATGGCAGTGTAGGATAGCTGCGACTGTGGTTTAGCTGGCTAGTGCTAGCAAACCTACAGTAAGTAGGCTAACTGATGAAATGTCAACCGAAATTTCGAAATGCGTTGTGGTTTCGAAAATATAGATAAAATAGGGCTGTAAAACCAATCAAACTGCAGTATAATTTTAATAAGATTCAGTTACTTCAGAATGCTGGCTTTCAAATGAACTTCCTTTTGGCCGCAAGCAAAAATAACATTATGCAAAAATGATTAATTTTGTAGCATGCATATTTCTCATTGATTTTCGATGACCCTTAAAGTCTAATTATATTTCTTGAAAAACATGCATAAAAATATTCAGGCTTTTGTTTATTCGGTTGATAATTACGTCTTCTTTAGACTTTATACTCAAAGAATGGGTAGAATTCGGTTTTCAAAAACTTTGCATCCAGGGTTTCCAAATTACAAGACATGCACTTTCCGCGTACGGAAAACCACAGATTTCTCTATGGTATTGAGGGGAAACCATATGGGGTTCATAAAATTTAGCGTTGGATTTGATCCGCATTGTTAACTTTACAAGCCGCATTGGTAAATGCAGAGACATGACGACTTATGAACGACCATTTCACGGTATTAAAAAGTCACACAACTAGAACTTTTCTAAAACCGAACACTGTCTCTTTTTCGAGCATAACATTAGAAGCAAACGTATTTATAGAACGAATGACTGAAAATGATTATTTTTAGGCATGTTTTGCATGAAATATAATTGGACTTTTAGGGATATTAAAAACCAGTGAGAAAAATGCAGGCTTCTTAAGGAGTCGCTTTTTGCAGAGTATAGTTTTTGTATGCAGCCGGAAGGAAGTTCGCTTGAAACCCAGCATCCTGAGGTAACTGAATTATTATAGAATTATACAGCAGACTTATTACTTACACAATCCTTCTTAATTAATCTTTTCGAAACGAAAACTCATTTCGAGCGCACATGCGCTGATGAAGTTAAATTACTTAGATTTATCAGATCCACTGAAATTTCCGCAAACTCCTGCGTCGACCTAACGGTTATTGGCTCGCTCAAAGGTTTCTTAGACCCGTTTGTACGCAAATACACCCCTTCAAATGTACATACTGAATTATTCATCAAGAAAATTATGTGTCTTTGCTTGTCACCTAACAAGTTTCTATCCCCCTCCCTAAGGAGCCGGGTCTGTGTGTTCTGCCTCTAGAGTGGGTCAGACGGTAGATGAGCTGGACCAGCAAGAAGCCAGATCGGGTCCAGGAGGCCTTTTTCGAGAATGTACAGCCACAATAAATGCCAGCCCTGGGGGAGTGTCGGCAGGCCAATCTGCAGGCGCACTCCGCACCCATTGGAATCCGAGCCGTCTCACCCCTTCTTTTCTTGTTGCGTAAAATTCTGGTCACTGTACGTTGTGCACCAGGGGTGTGGTGACACGCCCAGGTGCGGGTTTTGTCGTGCCAGCCGCCTGCGCCCTCTCCCGCCTACTCTCACGCCACCGGGTCCAGGTGAAGGAGGAGGAGCGGCGTAAGTCTACTATTACAAATAAAAAAGACGCTCGCAAGCCATCGTCTCGGCTCTCATCCTGATGTGGAGCACACGGTGGACATTATTGGTCACGACGGCTGAACTGTCGTGCTTGCGTGTGTGGGTAGTGCTTCTCCGTCAACGACGGTTTGGATACCCAGCATTGAAGCGCGACGCGACCCAGGCAGTTGCAGGGCCACGTGTCACCCTTCTGGGCCAAAAAGGATTGTTAGCGTCTGCTAGGCTGGGTTCAGCAAACCATGGTCCTTGCAGCCTGGTATACGCTTGCAGTTCTCTGGCACCGAGTTCTCTACCGGTGGAGGCGCTTGGACTTTCGTTGGGTATGTAGTTCGTGAGCATGACTCACGAGTCATCCTTCTCCTTCTGACATCTCGTAGTGCTGCTGTTCTTGGTTAAAATCATGGGCCCTTGCTGTGTGGGGTGGGGTGCCAAGGTACGGTTTTGGTCACGCCATCTGCCTGCTATTACCATGCTCTGGGGCATATCGTGGACATCGTTGGCAACGATGGTCCAACAGTTGTGTGTGTGCTTGTGTGTGTGTGTGTGTGTGTGGGAGGAGGGGGTGTAGGTGTGTCCAGTTAGAGACACGCGAGCAGGAGTGGTAGGTTGCACCATACAAGTAGTGGCTGCTGCTCACGGTCCTTAACTGGTACCCCCCCGCTCCTCTGGGGCTCCCCGAAGCTAGACTCTGTCTAGCGGGTCACGCCCGTGTTACCACCTCCACCGGTGGGTTAACTATGATGAGTTTTTACGTTGATGTGTGTCCCCCCCGGCCGGTAATTCTGTTCCCGTCCGCATTCCCCCTCTCCCGCTCTTCATTCCTCCCTCTCCTCTTCTCCATTCATGCGCCTTCATTCACTTCCCTGCCTCCCCTCTCACTCGCATTCCCCTCTCTTCATTCCACGTCAACATGCCTTTCGCGGGGACGACATGCAGCCTCATGGGCGGCCCAGAGTAGCTCGAGACGCACTCCCACCAAACCAGACCGTAGCCAAAAGTGAAGTTTTGCAACCGTTTTTTATGTCTAAACAGCCCTATCTACGGCTAGCACTGCTCACCCCTCGCAACAGAAAGGACCGAAAAAGATTCCATAAAAATGCTGTAAACACATCATCTGCACTAAGACCATGGTTTGCAGACTGAACACTCACGATCAAACCAATCAAACAAACAACAACTCACTTCCTCATCCTCAGCCCGCTCCACAGGCTGTCGGGGCGAGTTCGCTCAAGCCGGCGGCATGAAACGTTCTTTACCTTTTAGACAATCCAAGAACCAACCGGTAGCAATGGAGGACGGTGTTAGTCACTCAGGGGCTAGCACGCTACAAGGTAAACATCCTTGCTCTTAGCGAAACCTGCGTCTCTGAACAAAGGTGGGCGTCGGCCACACAATCTACTGGAGCGGCTGCCCAAAGGCAGTGCGCCGTGACCCAGGCTTCGTCCTTGCTATCCGAAACGACATCGTAAAACGAGTGCCCTGTCTGACGCAGAGCGTCAACTACCGCCTAATTAGCCTGCATCGGACCAACGCAAAGAACGAGACCTTCTTCCGTCATTGCTGATTCGTGCAGCGACGGCTACAGGAGATGCCGGACGCTGAGATTATTCGCAAGTCTGAGAAAATCAAGGCTATTCACCCCCCCCTCCCTCCAACCAGGAGGACCGCGCGGCTACTCGGCTTCGATAAAACAAGGCCACTAACGGAAAATTCGCAGATTCTGAAATTCGCTGCTCAAAACGACGGTCATGCAACAACCACCTTCAAACGCTGCACTGTGTTCTCCGTATCCACTTAAACTGCACTTAACAGAAGATCGTAGACAACTTCGTCTACTTAGACAGCACACTCCCATGCAGCGCGAGAATCAGTGACGGAGTGGCCCAACGGATCTCCAAAGCCATCTCAGCCGTCAGCCTACTGCAGGAATTCGCATGGAATCGCCAAGGCCTTCACGTCACTCATCAGCCTGGCGGATGACTTCCGAATAGTCCTGATGAGGCAGTGCCTGGACCACCAACATTCACCAGATGCCATTGCCTCCATCGTCAATAGAAGTTATAATCGATCGCGGAAGCGCCGGTGATTCCGTTAGTTTAAGCTTATTCATCATCACACAATTTTGGCCTTGTGACGGCCTAAACGTTCTTGCCTGAAAGGTGGAGACTCTCACCGATCGTACTGACGGAACTCACTCGTTCCTCTGTGCATTACGGGCTCTCCCTTGAACCCGACCATCAGCCGCACAGCGGTGCATGATATAAGCAGTATGTTTGGATTGTCTTAATTTTCACACTGAATAATTAACCTGAGAGGGGAACTTTATCTATTTTCCGATAGAGCCAAGTGTATGTTATTACCGTCAAAGACAACGGAGACTGGAATGGCCAGTTCTGGTTTATTAGCCGTCGTAAGCCAGTCATACCAACCCCGAACTGCTGAACACCCGAGGCTCGAACTCGCGACCTGTTAGTGAGAAATCCACGCCTGCAACCACTGGGCCACGTGCCCGTTGCCCTGTCGGTTTCGATCGGGAATATACAATGGTAGAGGAGGGCGCTCTCCAGTCTTCCCTGTCTTTGTCGGTAATAACATACTACCCTGCTTGCATGGCTGATCATGTCCTACATATTAAAGCGCGCATAATTCAAACTGAAGGTCATATGGCTGCTGGGTGGAAACTACTAGATTAGGTTCACCGTCGCAGAATTTGCCGGCATTCTGGTTCACTAGGCGTTTTGTTCTCTCGACTTCGTCATTATTCCTAACAGCGGCCGGAAGCCGAAATACGAAAGACAAACAGCGGCGATTCTCATGCCTGAGTGCGGAAGAAAGGTCAGCATCTATTTGCATTCCACCAAACCAACTGCCGGGACAGCAACTCCTTCCGACCTAAGTGCAGCGCCTGAGGACAAAGTGGGCTGCTGCGATTCTGACAAGTTAAATCTGCCGGCTGAAAGTCGCCGGCTTCTGATCCAGGCAGACGCTATCTGTCACGACAGCAGACTCCATTGTGAGTAAAACAAGCAAGTGATCAGGAGACATAAATCACTGTTTTGACCTTCTCGTTGGCGAGAAATGAAACAGTTTTTCACATACTCTTCTGGAAATCTGCTGTTGAGTAACATGGAGTTGGATATCATGACCAAGTTAAAGACACCAATGGCAATTCTCTGCCGCACCCGTCACCAAAGCCTGAGTTCATGTCTTAGCGCTGGCGAGACGATGCCCCTGATATACAGTAGGTGGGCTAACTCATGAAATGTCAACCGAAATTCCGAAATGCGCTTTCGTTTCGAAAAAAATGTTAAATTGGGTTTTAAAACTGCAGAGTCTGTAGAACAATTTTATAATAATTCTGTTACCTAAGGATGCTGGCTTTCGAACGATATTCTTTTCGGCTACTTAAGTAGCGCGCATTTTTCTCATTGGTTTTCGATTACCTTAAATATTCAATTATATTTCATAGAAAACCGGCCTAAAAATATTCATTATTTTGCTCATCCGGTAGAAAGTGGAGTGTTCCTTTAATTTGATGCTCAACCGAAGGAAAAAGTTCGGTCTTAAATATGGCTTAAATCCGCTGCAAAATTTAATAACCACCAAATGGTTTCGTCTTAATGCCATAGAGAAATGCATGGTTTTCCGTACGCGGAAAATATAGTGCTTGTAATTTTGAAACACTGAATGCAAGTGAAACGGCAGGTTGGGGTGCAACATTTATCGGGATTCATAAGATTTTAAAATGCCAAATTACGCCCTTTCTTTAAGTAAGGAATTTGAATAAGACGTAAAGGTCTGCATAAAGAGCAAAAGTATGAATATTTTTATGCATATCTTCTATGAAATATTATTTAATTTCTAAGGGCATCGAAAATCAATGGAAGCACTGCATGCTTTTAAGTAATCATTTTTTGCAGAGCATGATTTTGGCATGCAGTCGTAAAGAGGCTCATTCGAATGTCGGCATCCTGAGATAAATTAGTTATTATAGGGTCACGCAGCATTATAAGAAGTATAGCCCTCCATGTTAATTGATATTTTCGGGACGAAATCTTATTTCGGAATTTCATTTGACATTTCATAAGTCAGCAAACCTACTGCAGATAATTTAAGAACCGTGTAACTTAATGTCTCAGTTTGGCGAAAACAGAAAACCTTTTTGAATTTAAACATTCTTCTAAACTGCACCATACACATAGCAGCTGTTAATTGGAATCTTGAACTGTAATTTCAGTTGAAAAAGACCATTCGGTTGTAGTTGCAATGGTTATATGCTCGCTTGGGTTTGGACATACCAGCAGCTTCGAAATAGCGTCCATTTAGCATATTCTCATATTGCTAGTTCACACACAGTCAAAAATGTCTTCCAGCTAGCACTTCTAGGCCCATAGGTCTATTCCTGCAGAATATTTACTGATAAAAATACTATGGGAGCCGCCCCGAATTCCACAACTGATCAACTCAATTATTAGGCAAACTGTCAATTTCCTAGCAGCCCTCAATTATGCAGTGGACTACAGTAGCTGGCTTATGTGACGAAGTGTTAAATTTGAAAAATATAACTTAAATGGGCTTGCAGTATTGACTACCATGCTGCCTAATCCCAGCGTGTATCAATCATGCCAATAAGCACACTAGGTATTTAATGGTCGCTTACGTGGTAAAAACGTTTCCAATGACATTTCGATTGACCTATTAATTACAATATATGTTGATAGAAGCGAACTGCTACCTCCAATATGTTTTGTAGAAAGCATAGTTACAGAGCATGTCTTTGACAAATGTTGGGCTCAAAATGAGGTTATATTTCGATTTTAAAATAGTTTGCAATTATGAGATTTTGAAGACGGTGAAATGTTCATTCGTGGGACATCCTCTCTCTATCTTTATTAGTGGTACTTACAACATTGTTTCCGCCCAATACAAAATTACCTGAGTCCCAAATGACGTAATCGTAATGGCCCGGATATATGCATGATAGCTCTCTCTTAGAGAGTACCCAGCATGTAGTTTAGAAACCCTAAGCACTAATGGAATTACCGGTTGGAGTCAAAATTATTCATAAACCAAAATGATTTTAACCGTTTAAAATGCGTATTTTCGAGTTCGAAATTCGAATAATCTGTCACAAAATAAGAACAAAACAAATATTGTTAAGCATGTTTTCTGTAAAAGATCTGAGATATTAATGACATCGTAAGTTGAAGGGAAAAAGGCATACCAGCTACGTAATCATTTAATACCGGGTGTTGTTTTTGCAGGTAGCCGCAAGAAACGTACTCAATTAACGGCATCCTATCGTGACTGAAACAACTTTGTCTATTACGCCAGATAATCAATATTACAACCCCTAGTAAGTGGTACCTTTTCATCGGATTCACATTTCAAAATATTGGTTGACAATTCGTGAAATATGCCACCTACTGTAGGTCGTAGATCCAATGATCATGACAGGCAGCAAAATTTGTGGCAGCCACTGTCCGTATATGTAGACCTGTCAACATCGAAAAGCTAGTCGTGGGATATTTTTCAATTCATGCGAGTTCCCAATGTCTTAGCACATTAGATGACAAGACTTTGAAGGTGTTGGCATCCGCCATATGGGTGGAGCTACGTAAGGCAGCCAAAAAGCGGGCATGCCGATTCCAGAAAATTTGCTAGTCTAATCGTCTGTGCCGTATACGGGTAGCTGTTGCTTTCTAAAGAACCCGAATTAAGAACTCAAAAAGGATATTAAAACGAGGGATTACTGCTTAATAGGTCCCAATTAGTGCAGAAAATGCACACAACTGGCCGTGGAGATTAAAGTCATAAGATCTGGACATTCAAATTTTGGAGAAGTACGCCAAATGTTCGCATCTTAGCTTGTGCATTATACTCATCTGCTATCATCTAATGCTTTCACTGTGGGTTAGGTATCTGACCATGTATAAATTCCATTTCAAATTTCATTCTATTTACCTAAACCGTTTCTTTAAAAATTTTAAGCATTTTGTCCCCGGCACGAAGCTGAAGTAGGCAAGCAGGGCAGGATTTAATGGTACAAGGAAATTTCGCAACGGCTCGTCAGCTGCGTCCTGTCGCTTCATAAGAGAGATAACGAGTAAGAAGAATAATTGGGAGGGAAATAACTTGCATTTTTTGAGTTTTGTACCCATACAATGGAAACGTAACTTGGTATACGCTCTTGTCCAAAGGGCTAGAAAAATGTGCTCCAGGGACACACTGAATGCAGAATTTGCACGCCTCAAGGAAGCTCTAATTGAGAGAGGATATCCTGCACGTTTTATTCACAAACACAGCAACACTACACGGCCAAAACTAACAGAACATTCAGTTCCGAAAAAAACTCGTCTTTACATCTTTGCCCTTTAAGGGCGATAATAATTTAAATACCATCAAACGACGGCTGCATTCCACCATTGAAAGGACATACAATGCAGCCGAAATCGTATTATGCAGTCCTACTAAGCCACTTCCGATTCCACGGGCAAAGGATGCCTTGCCAATGCACGCCACTTCAAATTATGTTTTCGAATTTACATGCAGTTGCGGATGCAAGTACATTGGGCGAACGCAAAGGCAGTTGGCAGCCAGGTTTATTAAGCACCCGGCCAGATGGCTCCTAAAGCAAGAATATAAAAGTCCGCGTTCCTCCATTACGATACAACTGGTTGATAGTGGTCACTCTGTCGACTCCAAAACGTTCTTCCGAGTACTTGTTTGGGCATGAACAATTTGGCAGCCTATATACGACGGGTACAACCAGACCTTTGCAAACAGTCAGAACACGTGGTTAGTCTAACATGATTTCTTCTTCCCCTCTCACTTTTTGCTCGTTAAAGCTTCCCGTTTTTCACTTTCTTCCCTACGGTGTTTGAGGTAACAACTTTATCGATTAATCAGCCTTACACAAGACCATGACCTTGCTGATTCTGCATGGATTTTCTGCACGAATTCAAATCTGTTGTATTCGTCCCACTCGTTATCTATGTTATGAAGCGACAGGACGCAGCTGACGAGCCGTCACGAAATTTTTTGGTACCATTAAATCCTGCCCTGTTAAACCGTTTCTACATCAGTAGAAAAATTCAGGTCACCACAAGCACTATGAAGCCTTCCTAAACCTCATATCTGCGCACTTTTTATCTGGAAGTAATCTAGCAGATATCTCACTTTGCCTTAGCATTTTACAGTAGCAAAGGTAACTGACAAATCATTGAGCACTGGGCCAGGTTTAGGGCGGTTCCCTTACGCCCTCAGGGCAGAAAATCAGGAAATAGGCTTCCAGGTACACCACAGTACGTTTGTTATGCCTGATAAAGGTATTTAAACCAAACGCACACAGTGTGAGTCGACATTGCTTCGCCAGATCCGCTACACCGTTCCCCTTTTTTTACAAACGGCACTCAGCTCTGACTAGTAGTCTGCAAAAAAATCTACAGAAAGGCGGTTTGACATTTAAACAAGCATGTTTGCTCGAATTTTTTAAAAGTCGCCTTCACGTTAGAAGACAAAAATGACGTCTTTACTCCAGTAGTCGCAGTGACTGTTGCATACTTTCCGTCGAGATTTGTTAACGCGGATACGGATTAGAAAGAAAGGCAAATATCTCGAATTGTATTTTCGGTGAAACAAAGATCTTTGGCGGCAACTGTATGTACATTTGAGCTCGATCTTAATATGCACCCAGCAGAGTTACTGGGACAGATTAGTTTCTCTTCTATTGAGGGACTTTAAATCCATTAGAATGAAATAAATCACGCATTTCAGTTAACTCTGCGAGGCAAATTCAGGACTGATAGTCTTTGGCAAATTTCTAAGAGGTAATCGAAAAACCAGTTAAGTGGCGGAGGACTTAATGTATTGCAAAACCGGGTATTCGCCAAAAGCACACACACATTAGAAACTGGGGTGTAGATAGGGAAGGTACGTGGAGAACACGGAAGAACCCTCCAATGCCCGAAATTCCCGCGCCTGTATCGAGCAGGAACATCGATCGGCGGGAAACAGGTCTGTGCATTTAGTCAGCACCCGAGATGTTCTCACTTTTATCGGAACCACACCTTATCTAACCAGCCTCGATGATGTCGGAAATGGCATCTCTCCACGGGTGATGATCTGTGGCGACGGGTGGGAAGAGCTTGACCGACTTTCCCCTCCAGCGACAGACAGAGAGAATACCGAAGGTCCTTAAAACGTTTCGTGTCTTAACGAACTGTTTCGAGTCGGGAGTTAAGTTGGCCTCCTCTTCGACTTCTTCAGGTGGATAAGAGGGTCCGATCAAGCGTAGAAACACGGAGCCCAGGAGGTGAACGACGAAGAAAGTGACCAAATCACCAAAGTCGCTTTTTGGAGAGGTTTGAACCTGCAGTGTCACCTGAATGATATGATATGACTAGTTTCCTGAGGTAATTTTGTTTATTTACCTAATTTAACTACCCGCCAGATTATGAAGAAGAAGAGAGCGCAAGCAAACCTCGAAGCACGCGCAGGAAAACGCGTGTGAACCGATGCATGGCGTAACCAAAGGTGACGTGTACACACTCTCACCGTGACACTGCCACTCGGTGGATGAAGAGGCTGAGGATGGCGCAATCACAACTGGAAGACCACGGAGGCAACCGTTTGTTAAGTTGCAGTACATGGCTGCCATAGTGGAAAAACGGAGTTCCGCACCGTCCGAATACTTCCATTAGCAAGCCTAATTAGCCACTTACTTGGATTGAAATAATAAAGACGGTGCAAGCGGGGCTCGTAGGACGCGCAGGCAAGCGTGTGTTAACTGAAATCCGATGTACGACAGGCTGGCTTATAAGCACTCTCCCAGGGCGAGCTAAAAATAGCACAGAGTGCGCAGAACACGTCACAGTGTCGGCGTAATTACATCTACTAGAATTGTTTAGGAAACCAACCATATAGCATCATAGCTGCATAGCTGCATCATAGCTGCATAGTCGAACCTCGCCGATAGAAGAACGTGAAATGTTGTCTGGCCAGTTTCTTGATTTTTCACTATAAATTTAATTATGGCATGCAGTTTACTCACAATAATAAATATTTCTTTGACCTTCTTTCCGCTAGTAGCAGTCGCAACTTTAGTTTCACTTGCTTGCTTTTTGTTTCGGAACTTAATTTATCAAAATCTTATGCTCGTTATTTGGTTACCTTAGGAGACCTTATTTCTGACATTCCTCAACAAAATCCAGTGAGAAAATGTAGAAAATTTCTATAAATTTGTTTTCTTGCAGTCCGCTCACCACAAAGCAGTGTCATAATGAGGACTGAAATGTTTAAAAACGTTTTGGCAGATGTTGCGTCTATTAAGACGTGGTAACATTAGTTACAAATGTCTCTTTTGATGGAACAAAAGCCATCATACGTTCGCATGCATCTATCACTAACAGGTCGCTTAAAAACTCCAAAAATATTCATTTGCCGTTTGATGAACAATTCTAAAATTCGACGGAGTAGTAGTGGGCCGTAGCGACAAAGCGACCTTAGTGTGTGGTCTGTGCGCTAAAATCATCAGGCCAGATTCTGTGCTGTGGGAAAAAGTAGAAGTCTCCAGAATGTGCAACGTTTATCCTGCACAAAAACCCTAGGTGACAGTGGCCGCTGGCGAAGCCAGGGTTGGTGATGACTACGTCCAGTCCTGTCTGCGAGTCCCTGAGACAGTGGTGGCAGCGACTTTTGTGTGCTTATGGGGCAGTCAAAAGTTGTGTCTGTTGCATTTTCTGAGGGGGGAGGGTAATGTTCAAGGGGCTTGTGTTGCATTCCTTTAAATAGACCGAATTTTTCGCGCTGCTTGGTAAATTATATTTGTTGGTGACAAAATGACTATCACCGAAAAGTTATTTTCAAGTATAAATAGCCTACATGGTTTGTATGCATCAGTCGACGCATCGAACTGGATTCTGCGTACAAAAATCGCAAGGAAATGTGGAAAAGGCGTTAGTTAATCAGAACATGATACGAACAGTAAAGACTGGTTGACACGAGTGAGGCGGCAATGCCGATTTTTAGGCATGTTTAAATTTTAACTGTTCGCAAACTTGCTTTACGTCTGTGGACGACTTGTGGAACCAAAGTTAGAAGATTTATGGAATAAATAGTGATATCTTTTTCAAAGTATTTTTTTGAAGTATACTTCTTGGATGAAGTCATTCGTGAGCGCCCATCTGTCATTATATATATATATATACATATAAGTGGTGGACTCTTATTAACAAAGAATCAAGGGAAACTGAAATGACCAGTTTTGGCTTGTTTGCCGTCGTCAGCCAGTCATACCCATGCACCATGTGTGGAAAACCTCGGGCTCGAACTCGCGACCTGTTGGTTAGAAGCCCAACGTCCCTAACCACTGGGCCACGGTCGCGTTGTCTTGTCAGTTTCGATCGGGAGTATACGACGGTATAGTGGCGCTTATTAATCGTTCTTACGCAATTCACTTGTTCCCTTTTGCCCTACGGGCTCGAGGGATGGACAATCGGTTTTTCGATGTACAAAGACATCCAGCAAGGGGGAGTTGCCCATCAACCTCTGTTTAGGAAGTAATCGTGTTTCCTGGAATTATAGAGTTAATTTTGGTATGGAGAGACCGTAATGCAGAAATTAGAAAGAATGGCTCTAACCACAGTAAACCCAAAATTTTGGTTGCGATATTTAGATGGCATTTTTGTCACCATCAAGAAGGGTCAGTTGAATCCGCTCCATGCCAAAATGACCTCTATATTTCCAGGAATAACGTTCACTTTCGAAACAGAGGTTGATGGACAACTCCCATTCCTGGATGTCCTTGTACATCTGAAAACCAATATATCACTTCATACGTCAATTTATCGTAAAGAGGCGTACTCCGAGGTCATTCTACACTTTGAGAGTAACCTCCCTGTCTCTCAACAGCAGAATACAGTCTACAGCCTTCTGAATAGAGCCAAAACCCACTGCTTTGATCAAGCAGGTTATCTAGCAGAAATGAAATGCCTCTACAAACTGTTCTCCCAAAATGAGTACACCGATGACCTTATACGTCAATGCATGCGGCACCAGCAACTCAAGGGAAGAGGTATTTCCAATGCTACGGCCGCACGGAAACCAAAAATAATCACATGCCGAGCTTTCCCATACGTGAAACATGTATTGGGACTGGTCGAAAGACAGTTAAAAAGTACCAGATACACGTAACACATCAACCGGCAACTACCTTATGCACACAGCTTGTTCACCCTAAGGACTGGGTTGGCTACCTTAAAAAGGTGTTTTCTACAAAATCTCATATTCTAGTTGTGGTGCCGTCTATTGTGGCTAGACTGAGAAATCTGTCTCAACCCGTATACATGAACATCAGTTGGCGGTAACGCGACGCGGCAGTCTATCCGAAGTGGCCATGCATACACTGGACGCAGGGCACAAATGTGTATGGGAAAACACTCTCCTTGTTGTCGCCTGCCCGATAAGGAAGTCTCGCGAATTCCACGGAACAATGCACTCAGATGAGGCATGCATCAACCGGTATATCGATCTAGATGTCATAAAAACAATCGTTTAGGGCAGATTCTAAATAACTTAACCTATCTCGAGAAGATGACTTTAAGCAATCATAAAATGCGTTGTCAGACTCGGTCTAGAAGTTAATTGTTTTGCGCGCCCATTGTACAAATACGAGTTGGGGAACCAGTCTCAACAATGTGCACAATAGCGTTTACTGCTTTCCTAAGAATTCCGTCGTCCTAAATATATACATTTATATATATATACGCGTGTGTGTGTTTGTTTATATGTTTTACCTGTCCGCCTAAATGGACCACGTGCGTGTGCGCACTTATATGGTCCATTTGAAATGATCTAGTTGTTCGCAGTAGCCAAATGTTATTTTCCTGTCAACCAGAGCAAACTGACCGAGCCGTTCAGGCGGCAGAAGGGGTTAAACGTGCGTCCAACAACTAGGAGCTGTCCAGCGAGAGATGAGCGCGCAATTATGTTGTTGCTTCATTCTTTTATTTCCTTTCTTATCGTCAGTCTAATCATGCACTCTAGGACCTTCACAATGACAGGCGATTCCTGGACCTCCTCATCTGTGGTAAAAATCGCCACAAAAACGTTAGTCTATTCTCTGTTCAGCTTTGTTTGCCTTATTTTGTCTATTACTTTGTCTTCGGAGTTACCCAGTTCGCCGAATAGCACAATATCACATTCCTCAAAACGCAGGACTGTCTAGGAACTAGAATGAATTTGACAGCAGCTTGTCCCCCCCCCCCAAAAAAAGGGCACTTGTCATTTTATCGAGGACCAAAACATTTCTGACAATTCGTTTAGAACGCATTCCACCTTTATATGTGTACCATTTGATGAAACAATAGACGCCATATATGCGCATGCGTCTATAACTCGTTTACCTAAACGGCCGCATAGCGTGCCAAAACAACGCTTCCTGAATGTTTAGACGGTTCTACAAGCAGGATGATAGAGCAACAATGTTCCATTGCTTGGTTATGTTTTTGACTAACGCATGTGTAAGCACAGGATAGTCGTAAAGCAGAAAAGCCTACGCATAAGATATGTGGACGGTAAAAATCCCCAGCACATTTTTCGATTCACCCGGAAACGGTAATGCACACATACTTGACCAGAGTTGACATGATATTGGCGACGTTGAGAGATTTGCGTTGCTGATTTGATGATAGGACAAATTCTACACTTCAACTGCAATCATCTTCTGTCTCAGAATAGTATATATGTCTGAACGACTGTACCTTAAGAACCTCTTTGCAGTCAGTAGTTATCCCAGATATGTTATCGAGAGAAGCAGAGGACGGCCAAAGGAGGTGCAACCCGAGGTATGTAGGGCGCTTCCATACGTTGAAGGGGTCTCCGAGGTGGCCTCTCGATTGCTACAATCCGTCAGATAGACATAACCCATTGATCCCAGAGAACACTACAGCGCAGTCCGACGCAATCTAAGGACACACTGCCACCCGCTGAAATCTCAAAAGTCGCCTAAAAAAATCGTTGCAATGAGGGCGACTGCAACTGTGCTGGGGAAACCGGACGGAAAAGGCAGACCCGCCTACAAGAGCACAAACCGGCGAATCGGAGGCTAGATACAGACTCTTAACTAGCAGCGCGCGTTGGAGAACCTGGGCATAATTTCGATCACCGGAGTAATACAATCTTAGGTAGGGATAACACAAAAGCAAAACAGCTAACGCTCGAGGTTTAGTAATCAGAAGCCTACTTCACCAGCAGCCATCTGAACCTTCCTGCAGCTAACGAAGTCCTACGTTTTCGCCTCCGTAGAGCTCAGGACCAAGTAACCACACTGGACTTAAGAAGGTCAAATATAGACAGGCCGACGGCGAGTCTACTCGGCGAGGAAGACTAACCACAAGACCGACCACGCGACGAAGGTTTAGTCGCCTCCCCCCCCCCCACCAAACGGTGACTCATAAAGCACACAGATAAAACACTCACCAATCATCCCCCGAGCGACCGAAGCAGGGAGAGAAGGGAAAAATCTATCAGCATTGCGCCGACCAACACGCATGCCGCTTGAAATTTCTGGTCTATGAAGTGCATTTTACGCTTTGACAATAAAAAACCGACCAAGCTCTTCAAAACGTCAGCACGTATAGAAACCCGTTCCGGTGAGTCCATCTTTTTCATCCTTCTAGTTAGGCAACCGTTTTACAAAGGAATTAAAGCGCACACCTGCAGGTGAAACCGAGTACGAACTAGAGCTTTTGTATTTTGACACAGAGATTAAGTCACGTCTCACAGACAAAATGTCGTTTATGACAATGTCCACAGTTCACTCACAACAGGGTGTGATCAAGGATGGGGACCTGCGTGTGAGTTCATTGACAGTGACAGCGGCCTTTCGCTGCATCTACCGCACGCTCTCCCCCTCTCCCACCTGTGTTCGATGTCGTGACAGGGTCAAGAAGATATGAGAGGGCCCAGGTGACCAGCACGACGAAAACCCACACCGGGGATAGGTCGGCCCCCATAGCGCTAGATGGACACTGGCTAGGATCTTACACAACAAAAGAAAAGGGAGGCGTCTAAAATCGAATTGAGCGGGGGTGCCACAGAGGTTACATTAGGAAGGATCCATTGAATACTTATTTTTAGTATTTGCGTGTCATCAATGTTTCGCTTCGAAATAACAAGGCAAAATGTTTGACCGTGGTGTAAAAATGGCTATAAAAATAACAATGTGTTCTTTCGACAGTAGACATGGCGCACAATTTGCTCTTATATTGTGTTCAAGTTTATAATGTCGCAAAAAATAATTCCTTTGTATATGAAAACTAAATTGACTGACACAGCGCTGACCACTCTCCGGTTGCCCTTTAAATATTTGCATCGGCAACGATAAGAAGTGTAACCCCAGGTCCGTATACTATGGGAGTGGTGGTAGCAGGGGTTTTACAAGTGGGACATCACCGTCGAGGGGGAACGAAATATATGCAATAAAACATAAAAATAATCAGGTTGTCGTTGAAATTCCTCTCCTTCGCCTATACATAACAACGGAACTGCGTAAGTTAATTGAAGAGTACCCATAAGCAACTCCCAATAAAAAAGACATTTGAACAAACCACCACTTGCAAATTCGAAGCAGGTCAGGAACCAGCATAACGAACACCCAGTGGGAAAGAAAAAACAGCAAGTGCCAAACAAGGCAGTTGTGAACAGTTATTGCGAGGTAACGTGATGCGAATCAGTATTAGAGAGGCTATGTAAATGCATCCCAATGTACAAGAACAAAGACAAATAACATAAGCATAAAAGCCTGTTTTTATTTGTATAATAAGCAATTTATAAACGCAATATAAAAAGTAAAGACAATAAACGCACATATGTAAACATTATATACAATAAGAAAATAAATTCATAAACAAAAGTGGTAATAAAGCTTATTATGCCTTCCAAAATGCTGACCATCGGTTCCTAGTCAACGAAAAACCATAAAACTGCAGTTTAAATGTTGAGTAAAGCGGGCGAAATAACTTAAACTATAAACTAGCAAAAAGCGGTTAAATAATGCCGAACAAGTGGACTGCTACCTGTTGTAGCAAAATGTCGATTTGGACGCCAAATGAATCGCCATTATGAATTTTTCAGCCAATCATAACGAGCGTTTTAAGGATTCGCGCCACAGAAGGGCACATAAAATCGATCGAGGCCTATCTGAGCAGACTAAAATGGTAACTCCACGAAGGAGAACTGATGTCAGTTTTTTGAATGTCAGTCCACGTAGACGACATTCAATATTGTCTGTGGTACGGCTTAGAGAGCAGTGACCTTAAGCAAGCGTAGGAAATATTCCTGCCACATTTTGCGAAAGAATATCGGGAAGACAGCTTCTTGAACCTAAGAAACTAAAGAAGGCCTTCTAGGAGCCAATTTAATGACCATTTGCAAGCATACGACGGGCAAACTGTTATGACGCAGAATGGCCCAATCTCAGATGCTATAATGCAGGGTGCCCTATATGCAACCGAATCCTAATTATTATTAAACGCTACAAATAAATGAAAACACTTTTAAAACATAAAGTCCCGATCGAAAACCGACAGGGCAACGGGCTCGTGGCCCAGTGAGTAGAGGCGTTGACTTCTAATCTAACAGGTCGCGAGTTCGAGGCTCGGGTGTTCCACACTTCGGGCTTGGGTATGGCTGGCTGACGACGGCTAATAAGCCAGAAATGGCCATTCCAGTCTCCCTTGTCTTTGTCGGTAATATCATTCTGCCTATACATCATGCGCCGCTGTGCGGCTGCTGATTGGGTTCGAGAGAGAGCTCTTAAGGCACAACGGAACGAGTGAGTTCCGTATGAACGATCGGTGAGCGCCCCCTAACAAAGTCGCAGTAACTGTTCAAAATGTGAACCTTTTGCATGAGTTTTCACTTTTAGTGTACATGAACTTATCCTCGTTTTAGCCATTCTTGCGTTTATTATCGCCCTCTTTCATTTGATACATGGTTTAGGCAATGAGAACATTAAATGTTGATGTTGATGCCGTTAAGAGTTATGATCCATCGTGTCAGTGTTACAAAGATGTGAAATATCATTAACAGGATTCATCCGAAACGCAACCTCTGTAAAAATCGACTATCTACGTGATTGTCGAAAAATTCCAACGAATCGGTAACGTGAAGAACAGTACGGGCTGTTGCTAGTCGTTTTACCATCGAAATTCCTGGGAACACCTAAAGGGGTAGATTTAATACCAAACGACACCATCGTATCTTCTGACATTGCATCTCCCTTTACTTCATTTGTTCAGAATCTGACGATCAAGAACATCCAAATTATTCCGCAAAGCCAAGAATACAAGAAAGAACATTGCTTTGGATTCGCTCGAATAATCAAACAAGTAGAATGCTGCCTTAAAAGATGCTTCGCGTTCAGCAGAACAATCTATGAACAGGTGGAAGGCATACCAATAAGTACACCGACTTCGAGGCGGCCTCGCAAAGGGTGGAGTTGCAAGACTTCCATCAAAACCGAACAAAATTCTAGACGCAGAATGCTGATGATACCTTTGTTATTATTGAAACCGAAAGGTGCTGGCTTTAAAAGAACACCTCACTTCCGTCCCATCGGATATAAAATTTGCTATAAAGGAGGAGTAAAACCACCAGCAGATCTTGCTTGATGCCCTTATCTGCCCTAAATATTGGGAGACTTAAAGACTAACAATATCAGGTAAAGCGTCCAGTGCAACATAGGCACCCAGACTACCGCAAATGCAGTTGCGTAAGGACATTTTTGTTGCTTAGTGGACACCCACAGCAATGAAAAGGAAAACGAGGCTATCGAAGTAGAGTATCTTTAATGGATGTATAAAGCGAATGGCTAATCGCGCAATTATATCAAACCGGGCATGCGCAGATTTTGACGGGCGTTTTCGAACGTGAAACCGCCAGCGATCGATTCACAATCCGTGGAGTAGCGGTTTGCACACAGACCAAAGGTAACCATAAACGTCTGGTCATGGGCCCGAAAAATCCACTGCTTCGGTAGGAAACACCTGGATTCGCTTAACAGGTCCGACACGATTATGATTAAAGCAACCGTTTTGAAAAAATGAAAACGCGGAATGGCCGAACACGCTACTGTAATGAAGGGCGATGACGCCAACTACCAATTCTCGTCTCTGTCGACGGGATCCTTCCACAGTTTTTGTAAGTGGTGACAACCACATAAACGGCGAACTGCTCAAATCATGGATATTCGTCTCTCAGTCGTATAAAATGCGTAATAAAACTCCTTACCGCATTCCGTGCTGGGAGTGCCTAAGCAAAATCAATTATCCTGGTGGAGAGGGCGCGGACATTCGCTATGGGTTAGTCAGTTGGACCAAAGTCTCCACGAGCGATTTAATTTCGGAAGTTAACAAACAAGCAATCAAGGAGGCATCGTTTTTCTTGGAACCACCTGTGAAGATTGTATGATATGTTGACTGCAATAGGCATCCAGTAACATAGGCATTGCATCATATAAATACTGCCACGTCCGTGCACCCTGGTGCCTGATGGTGGAGTCGAGTCTGAGTCCGAAGCATCAGGGGATAAAGCTCATCTTAATGCTGTTGTCTTTATCCGCGCGGCCACTTCCTGTAAATCGCCGCTATGCTACTATCAACAGACATGCCATGGCACTTTTGTAATGTACGGCGTCAGCAGCAATCTTGCCTGAACATTGCAATTTTAATTTTGACCCTCCCGGTGTTTCGGTCATTTTACACACAAAAAGTAGACATTTTCCTGGTTTAGAATAAGTATTTTCGCTGCAGTGACGAGTGTTCGGCTGGACTAATTTAACAATGTATCTTGCTAAGGCAGCAGTGTCAGGTTCAAAAAACGCAACTCGAAAGCTGAATAAGCTTTGAAAACGATTAAATTTTTGGGTTTTAGTCAATGCCGACCTGAATCACGTGACCTACCTCATGAAATCTGAGGGCATAAACTAAGGAGAGAATTTTCGGACACTTTGACAGCTTTTTCAGCTCCATCCGGGAAGTGGCCTCTTCTTGCGCAGAGATTGTGTGCACGTAATTTTATCAGGCATAGTCTTCATAATTCTGGGCAAAAATGGGCATAGAGATGTACTTGAACAATTTTTTATGCCAATGCTAGTACTAGACTTCGATTGCGAATGTGAGTACTTTTTTCTTAGCGAGAAGGGCAATCTTCACGTGGAGTTTTACCTATGAGAGTTGGCTGCATTTAAAAAGTGCGTCTTTTTCTGTTGCTATCCATCGGGATCAGCATGCTAACACATACGTTATTTTAATGGAACCAGCCTGCCAAAAGTGCAGTATAAGCGCACGCCGACAATCATCCGTTGAAATGGACCGAAAGTGCTCCGCC